GTGAGGGGAGGGGAGGGCGAGGGAGAGGGCTCGGCTAGAGCGGCCCAACGGCACCGCCTGGCAGTGCGGGCGCGGCAGGCAATGGGTGGGGGGGGCGGGCCTCCTCTGCCTCCGCGGCCGCGGCCGCCACGAGCGCAGGGTCCCGCCACTCCTCGGGCATGGGTCGCCCGCCTGCCCTGCCGAGCTGGGGCATGCCAGGGCGCAAGGGCCAGAGGGGAGCGAGGAGGGGGCGAGGAGGAGGGAGGAGGACGACGAGGGGGCAGGAAGGGGGACGGGAGGAGAGCCGAGGGGGGAGCAGGCTCCTCGCCCCCCCGCGTCCTCCCCCCCCCCTCTCCGGCCGAGGAGGCGAGCGCTGGAGGCCGCGGCACGACCAGGACCGCACGCCAGGCGGCGACTGCGGCGGAGGGGGGCAGCGGGCACCGGCCGCAGGCCCTGCGGGGCGGAGTGCGGCAGGGGAGCAGCTCGCAGAGGCGCTGGAGCTCAGGGCCCAGCGCGGCTGCGGGAGGGCGGCGGGAACTCTCCGACCTCGCCCGCCGCAGTGGTGCTGGAGGCCGGCAGGGGCGGAGCCGCTCCGCTCGCGGCTCGCTTCGCCCACAGACCGCTGCGCGCCCAGGCCGCAACGTTCGCCTGGCCCGCTTCGCCCACGGGCCGCGACGCCCCTCCTCCTCCTCCTCCTCCTCCCCCTCCTCCTCCTCCCCTCCTCCTCCTCCTCCTCCTCCTTCTCTCCTCCTCTTCTCCTCCTCCTCCTCCTCCTCTCCTCCTCCTCCTCCTCCTCCTCCTCCTCTCCTCCTCCTCCTCCTCCTCCTCCTCCTCTCTCTCCTCCCTCCTCCTCCTCCTCCTCCCTCCTCCTCCTCCTCCTCCTCCTCCTCCTCCTCCCCCATTTTTTCGTCGTCGTCGTCGCTGCCGTCGCTGTCGTGCGGGGTCCGCGCCTGTGCGGGTCCGCCCGCCCGTCTGGGGGCCCGGCTGCCGGCGAAGCGGAGCGTTTTCCCGCGGGGTCGAGGCGATGGCCCATGCGAATTGCCATAAGTTCTACTACTGTTTCCCATGGAAGACCTCAGGAAAGCCTGAGGCAAGCTGTAAAACAATCGAGGGACACCGAGCCCCTCCCCAACGAGAAGGGTTCCTTCTTCAGCGCCCCGACTGTACGCAGGAACGCAAGTAAGAACCCCACTTGCAAGCACTGTATATAGGACAACAGAAGCATCCAGACGCAAGAGGAAGTACGATGAGAGCATTGGATAAAGAACCATTGGATATAAGGAATCCAAAGTCTGGAAGCCGGTCGAACTCCAATTGAGGCTGGGTCATTCCTTATCAGATCAGGAATCATCCACGGTCTGAAACCTCCTGCGCCCCCACATTGGAGAGACCAAAAGGTACCGCCACTCCCCGCACCCTTCCTGGGGGGCGTTCTGACCAGAATTCCGAGGCGAATCCAGCGGCGGCGACAAGGGCCTCTCAGGAGGCACAGAAAGAGGAAAACGAGAGAAGGGTAGCGGAATGGTTCCTTGACCAACGACCCCACCAGAAGGACATCCTCCACGCAAGGACAAACTTTTCAAGTCAGCGGGCGCCAAGGTGCGGTCAGGCGCCGGTCGGGCTAAAAGCGGGGCGCGCCGAAAGCTAATCGGGGCACGACGCAAAGGGACGAGCGGAGCAGGTGGAAGAACAGAGCCGCTCAGACCGTGTAGACCTCGCAAGGACACAAACATGTTCTGGGGGCGGTTGCCCGTCTTGGCGGCGCGCACGTGGGGCTAGGGGGAGGGGGGAAGGCTTCTCAGAAGGAGGCTGCTTCTCACAAGGCGCCGGCCCTACATCAACAGAGAAGGCCCTCTTCTTCTGATAAGCAGGGGTGGTTCTACGAAGCCTTCCCCCCTCCCCCTACCCCCCCTTCTGCGCGTGGCAGAATAATGACGCACGATGCGGATGTGAGGGCCCTGGAGGGCCACGTCGACACGTGGCGAGCGGGGTGCGGCCAGCGAAAGCGGCCAAGGATGGGCCGGAGGGGAAGGATGCAAGGGCACCCTTGGAGAGTCGACCCTCCTCACTGTGCGGGTCGACTGCGCGGGTTCTAAGGAGCCTTCCCCCCTCCACTGCTCCCCTTCTGTCGGGGATCTTCTGGCCCGGGTCAATCCAGACCGGGGTCAGCAGGAAACCAAAAACTGCAATGCAGGAAAAGAAAACTGCAACGCGGGTCCTCGCAAACCTGGGTCAGCCAGTACGCGCGGCCGCCCCGCGGCCACGAGCGCCTCGCTGACCCGGGTCAGCCAGAGGGGGGTCTTCGCAGGATCCTGCAGGATCCGGCGCCCTGGCTGACCCCAGTCTGCACTGACCCCCGTCTCGAGGCTCCCGATTCTGATCCGCCCTCCCTCCTCCCTCCTCCCTCCTCCCTCCAACCCCCTCCCTCCTCCCTCCTCCCTCCTCCCCTCCGCCGCAGCGGCAGCCGCGATCGGCGCCGCCCGCGCTCCGTGGGCCGCCGCCGCGGCCCCTCGCCGAGCCGCGAGGACCGCCGTGCCGCCTCTCACGGCGGGGGGGCGGCGCACCTGGCGAAGGCCCCGGCCAGCCTTGGCCCCCGTCAATCCGGCCGTGAGGAGTTCGACGGCGCGACGCGCAAGGCGTCGGGGGGTGCGCCGAAGGCAGGCACCCCGCAGGCGGCGCCAGTCCCACTGGCCATGCCCTGGGCGGCGGGGCCGTCGCCGCCGCCGGCGGAGTGGCCGACGCCGTTCGGCCCGATGGCGATGGCGTTGGCCGCGGGACAGCTGGCCGGGGCGGGAATGCCATGGGCGGCCGGCCTCATGGGGCCCCCCGGGCGCGCGCGGGGCAATCCTCTGCGCGGCGCGGCAGGATGGGCGGGCGCGACGCCGCCGCCATCGGGGCCGCCGAAGGGCGGGGTGGCGCCCCCCGTCGCCGCGGCCATGGCCGCGCGCGCCCCCGCGCCAGTCCCGAAGCCGGCCGCGCCGTTGACGACGCCGCCGTCGCCCCCGGCCGTTGGCGCGGGCGGCGCCCCTCCACCCGGGCATTTGGTCGAGGCCCCGCCAGGAGCAGTGGTGGCCCCGGGCGCGCGCGCCCCCATGTGCCCGCCGCCGGGGGCCCCCGTGGGCAGCGCGGTGCGCTGGGCGGGGGCGCCGCAAACGCCGCCCGCGGCGCCCCCGGCGCCGGCCGCGCCCACCGCGACGCCGGGCGGCGCCGCGCAGCACAGGGCGGCGGCCGCCGACGCGGCAGACCGCACCGGGGCACCGCCGTCCGCCATGCAGCCGCCCCCCGGTCACCGCGCGGCGGGCGGCTCGCAGCTGCCGTTGGCGTCGCGCCCGCCCCCAGGCTGGGCGGGGCCGGCGGCCGCCCCCGAGGAGGATTTGTGCGGAGGTGCTGTGGTCGCGCGGGAGGCGGCACCTGCCGCCGCCGCCGCCCAGGGCGGGGCGGGCGCGCCGGCGGCGGCCCCCGCCATGACGGGCGACGCGGAGCCTGACGACGACGGCGTGGAAGAGCTCGTCGCGGCCGTCCGCGCTGACATCGAGCTGATCGAGATCGCGAGCTACACGCTGCAGCAGGCCCTGGACAGGTTCCTGACCACGCTGACTGGGGCGCCCCTGGCCCTCCCCGAGGCCGGCCACCCCCCGGCTGGTGCGCCCGGGGGCGCGCCCGCGGCGGCTCCGGCGGTGGCTGCGGAGGATGCGCGCGCCATGGCCCGCGACCTGGTCACGCGGCTGTCCAGCGCGGCGGCGGGCGTCAAACCGGCCATCCCGGGCTCGTCGGTGAGCTCCGACGTCCAGTTCAAGCTCGCCGTCCCGGACGCGAGAACGGTGGCGGAGAGGCTGCGGGACTTCCACGGGCCCGCCGGGCCGCCCATCCCAGTGCAGATCCTCGAGGAGGAGGCGGGCCGCCCCTGGCGCCGCCAGGCGGCGTCCGCCTGGAGCGCGGAGACGGGCGGGGACAGCCGCCTCCTGGTTTTGCGCCTCCGCATCCCGTGCCGGTCTTCGCTGAAGAAGAACACGGGGGCTTCCGTGCAGTGGTCGCCGACCACGAACCAGGTCGTCGTGAAGGCCGTCAAGCTCAACATCACCGAGAACGCCGCGCGCTGGGTGGCAGCGTTCGGGCCCGTGAATCAGGTGAGCCCGTCGCCGGGCTCGTTCATCCCAACGGCGGCGGCGCCGCCCGCCAGGCCAGCCGTCCGTGGCTGCCTGGCTGCAGCGGGGGGCAGCGGCGGCGAGGCGCCTGGGGGCGGGCGCCGTAGGCCCGGCCGCTTAGTGGCCGAGGCGGCCGCCCCGCCCACAAGCGCGTGGCGCCGCCGTCGCGGGGCCTTGGCTTGGGCCAGGCTCACGGCGTGGGGATGCGGCGCCACGGGGCCCGGCGCGCCCCTCCGGCCAGGTGGGCGCGGAGGTGGCGTGGGCCGTGGCGACTTGTCTAACTCGAGCTCGTGCAGTGCAGGGTGCGCATCGCCGCCGTCGGCCGGCGCGGGGCGTGCAAGGCGCCGGGGGAGCCGGAGCTTGGGCCAGGCTCATGGCGGCGCGGCGTGCCCGCTGGCCCGGCAGCGCGTCGCGCGGCGGGCGCTCTCTGCTGCCGGGGGCCGCAGGGGTGGTGAGCCAAGGCTTGGGCCGGGCTGACCGGGCGGCGCGGCGGTGACGGGGGGCGCCCGTGGGGCGACGTGGGGGCGCAGTGCGCGGACGCGGCACTCGGAGAAACGGTGACGCTCCGCCTGCCCCCCGCCTTGCCCCGCCGTCTCGCCCCTGCGCTCCCCCGCCCTGGCCTCCTCTGCTGCGCCTCGTCGCCGGCGCCCTGGCCCGGGCTCTCCGGGTCGCTGCCGCCGGGAGAGGCTGGGGGGGATCCTGGCGCGAGTACCCCGCGCGGTCGCCAGTCGCGCCCTGGGACGTCGGCACTTCATGACCGCGCGTGGCACCCCGCGCCAGGTAGCCCCCGGCCGCCCCCGTCGGCGCCGGGCGGGGCTCGGACGGGGGGGGGCGGCGGCCCGGCCCCCTCACTGCCTGACGGGAGGTGCAGGACTTGACTGGCGAGGCCACGCGGGCGCCGGGGAGGTGGGCGGTAACCCCAGTGCGGCGCTCCACGCTCCTTGGCGGAGCGGTGGGCGCATCGCGGGGGTCACGGCTGACCCCGGCGGCGCGTGGCCTGGCTGCCCGCGTCCGGGGGCCGCTGGGGGGCCGGCGCGCTGGGGGGAAGCCGAGGGCGCCACCGCCCGCGCGGCGCGTGGCCGAGTTCCGGCCAAACTCGGCCACGTGAGGCGCGGACGGGGGCGCTGACGGGGCCGCGGGCCCCAGTGGCTGGTTGCCCTCTCCCCTCCTCCCCCCCCTTGGGTCTTTTCGCGGGGGGCTCGGGGGGATGGCCGTTGGGGGGCCGGCGCGCTGGTGGGAGGGCGCCACCGCCCGCGCGGCGCGTGGACGAGTTCCGGCCGAACTCGGCCACGCGGGGCGCGGACGGGAGCGCTGACGGGGCTGCGGGCCCCAGGGGAGGGCCGCCCACCCCCACCTCCCCTTCCTTTTCCTCTTCTCGTTGGGGGCTCGGGGAGGTACCGCTGGGGTGCCGGCGCGCGGGGCGCGGACGCTAGCGCCCCGACGGTGCCGCAGAGGATGGTCGCCTCCTCCCCCCCGCCCCTCCCCTCCGCGCTTTCCTTCGCTTGGGGAGCCCGGGGTGGGAGATGGTGCTGTGGGAGGGGGCCGCCCCCCTCGCGGCCACACGGACCCGCGGCTGAGGCGTTGTGGGGGGACCGGACGCGCCCATCCCACACCCCTTGGCGGACGGGGGCGCCGCGCTCCCCCGTCAAAGGTACCCCCTGGGGCAGCGGCGCCCCCGGCTCCCCAAGGCGCGGGAGCCGAAGGCCCAGGGGGCGGATGTTGTCCCGCGCCGGGGAGTCGCCCGGCCCCTCGGGGACCCCCCGGGGGCCGTCCGGAATAACATAGTCCGAAACATAGTCCCTCCTCCCTCCTCCCTCCTCCCTCCTCCCTGCTCCCTGCTCCCTGCTCAACCTGCTCCCCTTCTGCGCGCGGCCGAATGCTCCGGGGGCAGCTGCTCCCTCGCTGCCCCCCGTGCTCTGCCCCCGTGCCCCTCCCCAGGGGCGGCGGGTGGCCCTCTGCAGCACGGTCACCTCCCCTGCGCCCCATCCGCCCGCTCCCGCGCCTCGTCGTCGCCCGCGTCCTGCTCGCCTCTCCCATGGGGCCCAGGGCGACGCGAGCAGATAGGGACGACAGATTCCAGGATCCCCCCTATGTTTCATGTGCTCTGGATCCTCGCTTCGCTGCCCATCTTCTCCGAGGCATCGGCGACGATTTGTCTCCGTGTCCACTCGTCCCTCCTGATCTTTCTCCGCTTCCCGTTTCCCCCCCATTCGTCCCTCCTGATCGTTCTCCGCTTCCTGTTTCCCCCCCATTCGTCCCTCCCGCTTCCCGTTTCCCCCGCCCACGGGTCGCCTGACGGTCAGGAACGCTTCGCTAGCGCGTCGCGGCAGCGGCCCCGGCGACAGGCCGTGCCGTGCAGGCGGATAGCGTGTCGCTCCGCTCCGCGGGGCGGGAGGGCAGCGTAGGGACTTCAGGCAGCGTAGGGACTTGGAGTCCACTGCCCCTCTGTTCTGAAGCAGTTGTACAGGAGGGGGTACAGAGGACAGGGTGTTTACACAGTTTGGAGGAATTAGTGGATTCAGCGTGGGTCGGGCATCTCTGCGGCTGCCCTCGGTCGTCCAAGAACCCTTGGAGAGCCTCGGGAAGAGCTCGGGACGATGACGCTCGAGGACCGGGACGTGGATAGCGTGTCGCACCGAAGCTCGGTAGGCCAGGACTGGCGCAGCGACACGTTGAGCCAAAGTTTCCGACCCAAGTATTGTGCTGTCTTTCGCGGAAGAGGGCGAGTGGCCATAGATACACGTCGTTCATTTCTAATCGTGCTCATTTCTAAGTGTGCTCGTTTCTAATCGTTCCTGGCCCCTGGTGGCCAGGAAGAGGCCCAGGATAGCACAATTAGAAATGAAAGGACCTTGCCCCCCGAGAATCCAAAGACCTCTCGAATACTTAGAGATGAACCACGTGTGGCCCCGAGGCCCGATCCTTAAGGACACGCCGCCTCTTCGCCGATGAAACCGAGGCATCCCGCTCGCTCGCCTTGTGCAGTGCTTGCGACTCTGCGTACAGGGCAGTTTTTAACACATGGGAATTTTAGAAATATCGGATGTTTAATACATGAGCAGCTTAAGAATAAATGTATGCATGAATCCATCGTTGTTTTAAATGCTAGATCCCTGCATTTGTAATACATGATCCGCACGCGGAGCATGTATTAAAAACGGCACTGTAAGCTGACTGCTCTGCTTGGCACGGCCCGCGGCCATCACGGCATTCTGGCCCTCGGCGCGCGAAGAGCCGAGGTCCCCGCTCGCGCCTCCCGGGGGCAGCCTCCGAGGAACTTCCGCACGCGCCGGCCCAATCGCAGATCGGCGAGAAAAAATAAAAATACCCCCAAAAATACCCCATAAAGATCGAACAAAATGTCAAAAAAATATCCCCAGACTATTTTTTCACTATTTTTGAATAGCCTCCCTGTAGAGGGACAGGCCCACCCGCAGAGTAAGGATGCGCGACAAGGATGCAAAGGGCCTCGGACGCCCACTTCGGAGCGTTTCGAGCGGGGCGCGGCCAATGAGAGTGTCCAAGGGTGGACCCAGGAAGCAAGGATGCAAGGGTACCCTCGGGAGGGATGCCTATCCTTACCCTGCGGGTCGACTGTAACAAAGAACGGCGAGACTTCGTATAGGAGGTCACAAGTCGGCTCTGAGACTTGCACATGAGGCCCCCAGTGTTGACTCCGAGGACCGTGTCAGAGGAATCGCCAGACGCGCTGGTCGAAGCCCGCACCAGCGCTCCCGCACGGTGCCACAGTCAACTCCGAGACTCTGCCGTCGTGCCCCCGGTCGCGACTTCCGACACCGCCTCCGAGGAATCTCGCCAGACGCGCCGGTCGACTGCCAGGCCGACGCGTTCGGAGGTCCTCCCCAAATCGGCTCCGAGGAGTCTCTGGAGAATTGCCAGACGCGTCGAACGATTCTCATTATCTGCCAGCACCTCGCGGCGTCGCGTCACCTCGCCCTCCACGAGCCGCACGCGCTCTGCGAGGGCCTCCGTCGCCGCGGCGCCCGCCGCGGCCGCGTGACCGAGGATCACCAGACAAGGCAAGGTGATCCGTCCTCGGCCACGCTCCGCTACCATCCGCGAAATCGCGCTAGCGTTCCGAGATCGCACAGGAGCATTCCACGAGGCAGCCTCCGAGGCTCGGGGGCTCCCGCTCGCACCTCCCGGGGGCCGCTTCCCCGGAGCTGCTTGGGCGCCCTGGCCGCATCCCAGGCCAATGCTTTCGCAGTGGCGATCCTCTACGACTCGGCCCCGAGACTTCGGCACGAGGCCCCCGATCGTGCCTCAAGGGCACCTGTCCCGAGAGCCAGCCGATTCCCAAGCTGGCACTGCTTCGCAGCAGCGGTCCTGCACGCATCGACGCCGAGGGAGCGTTCGCCGGCCAGGTCCTCCACGAAGCAGCTCCGAGACTTGGCCATGAGGCCACGGTCGCTCGTCCAAGGGTCGGTTCCACGGGGTGGCTAGACGCGCTGGCCGAATCCATCACCCTCACGCCATCCTCATCACCATCGTCACGTCCACGACGATGCCACGAAAGAGGCGCATGCCTCATCTTCGATGCACACTTGCTTATATCTGTGTATGTATGCAAATGTTCATTGATATGGGTCCCTTTGAACCCTCGCCCCTCCCCCCCGACCGAAAAATGGAGCAGAGTCAAACGGTATGGGAAAACAAAAAGAAATTGGATTCGCTTCATCCCGCTTGACATTATCCTGTTTCCCCTACATCCTCCTCCTCTGCCTCCTGCACCTCCTCCTCCTCCTGCTCCTCCTCCTCCTCCTTCTCAGTGTTACCCTCCTCATTCTCACCGTCGTCATCCTCCTCCTGTTCAATCACATCTGGAGGGATGGCATGGTTTAAAACTAAGTCCATTCTGTGGGGCTGAAAACCATACGACCAATTTAAGAAACCATAGATTGAAAGTTGAAAAAAATGCCGAAGGGGGGAACTACTTCCTCCAGCCTCCCACTGCCACGCTGTTCACCCTTTCCTCGTTTCACTCACCCACCTGTGTAGCTTCTAGCGCGCTCTCTCTCTCTCTCTCGCTCTCTCTCTGTCTTTCTCTCTCTAATTCTCTATAGATGTGTATATTCATATGTCGTTGATGACGATGCATAGATGTAGAACTGTAGATGTCGAAGTACAGGCATATATACATATATATATATATATATATAAATTAAAATAGATCGAGAGAGATACACTCACACACATCTAAATGCCTATCTATATGTGTATATAGATACAGGAAGAGAGATATCGCTCCCCCTCCCTATGTCTCGATATCTCCATATCTGTCTCTCTCTCTATATAAATATTTGTCTCTCTTCCTCTACGACGGTGCTATGGTGCAAGAAAAGAAAGGCGGGAGGGAGAAAGGAGCAAGAGGGCGGAAGGAAGGCGAGAAGGCTAAGAATGAGGACGAAAATTGGGAGTGCGAGGAGGAGAGCGGGTGGAGGAGATAATGCGAGGAGGAAGGGAAAGGAAGCAAGGAAGAGTGAGAAGCGAGGTGCGAGAAGCAGGCATCATCTGAGAATGGTGAAATTCTTTCCATCCGTCCTCCTCCACTCCTCCTCCTCTTCCTCCTCCCTGCCACCCTGCCCCAACCTCGCTCCTCCTCCTCCTGCTCCTCCTCCTCCTCCTTCCCCTCATTATCCTCCACCCTTCTCCTCAGAGATAGCTCCTCCACGCCGCACCCCCAGATGTGTCGGTAAAGCGGGCCGAGCGCTTTGCCCGAGACCACCTCACCGCTTACGGCCTTGAAGCTTGACATGCGAAACAATTACACGGATGAAAGGAGGGCGCTTTCAGGATGGAGCTCTCGCCGAAGCGCCGCGCACATTCGTCTTTCAAGCTTGCAAAGTCACAAGGAT